CACCGCGCTGACTCGTCCTGTGTTTGTGTACGAGTGTGTGAGTGTGTGTTCAACTGTTTCTGTCTCTCCGAAGCAGCATTCCTCTTGTATTATGCGGAACCCCGATTTAATACCCCCTCCTCCCCACCCTTTAGCTCTCACTCCGCGCTGGCAGGACCTCGCCATCTTCGCGGTCCTGGAGCACCTGCTGGTGCCGTGCTGGGCGTCGTCGAGGCCGTCAGCGTTATCGTGCGCGTGCGCTCCACACAGCAGCTATAGTCTTCTCTCTCCCACCCCCACCCATTACTGGAGGATGGAGGTTCAAAGCACTGTGCGGATTCACCCTCCTACAGGCGTCAAGGGTTGGGACTGCTCCGTTCCGTTCAGCCCCTGGAGCCCGCAGGTCGCCGGAGGTGCAAGCGCCATCGGCAGGGCCAGGGTAGTGGGGGGACCTTGAACCCGAATCGATAAGGTTACAGTCATAGTGATCGACTCTGGGGTGGTCGATAGGCTCTCAGCCACAGCACTCACTACAGGTGGCGCATGTCGCGGTGACTCTGCTGCTAATGTAGCCTCGAACAATTACCCATCAACTCTCCATAGTCCGGTCGCGGTCTCGCCCGAGCCGTCGAGCCGTGGTCCGTATTAGCGGTGACAGGAGAACCCACCTGGAGGGCTGACCACGGCCACGGGGTGCATCGTCTCCCCTGGCTGCGCATGCGTGGTCACACGAGGCGGGGGCGGGAGTACCTCGGAGGAATAGTACCCTCGGCGGCAGCGGGAGCCGCGGCGCCAGGGGAAGCGGCGGGCGCCGGGGCCGGGTCGGGCCGGGCAGGTCGCCGGCAGGGTACGGGACTTGTCCAGTTCTCCACGGGCTGCCCCGCCCCGCCACAGCGTTGGCAACACTGCCGCGGCTCTCTCCCCGTCGCACTCGTGCTCATGGCGCCTCAGGTACCGGGGTCTACAGACTGTCTACCTACATGTCCACAGACGCGGGCAGGGAGTACTCCACTCTCATTGACACTTGCCCCGAGATACGTCCAGGAGCAGCAGCCCTCGGCGTCCCTGTGTTTGAAGACGTCGTGCTCACCTCACCGAAGCACGGCGCACATCTTGCACACCTCTGGACATCAGGCCCGGCTTGTGGGTTTGTGGGTGGACTGACCGACCACGCAGTTCACGCAGCTCCTGGCGCCGGGGCTGCACTCGGCGCAGGACCGTGGCGGGCCTGCGTTTGCGCCGGCCTTGGAGGTGGACGCCTGAGTCATCCATCGGCGGGGTGGTGTGGTATGGTTGGCCCCCGCCTCTCTGCGTGTGGAGGTGAGAGAGAAAGAGGGGGAGAGAAGACCAAACCACGCCTCACGGATGTCTGCGATAAACAGCCGATAAACTAGCAGAGCAGAGGTGTACCAATCGGGGGTGATCGTCGGATTAGACTCACTTTGGTCCCACCACTTCCCGTCGTGTCGCTGCTCGACGTGGGCACGTCGCCGAAGAGAATCAATACTTCCAATATGTCGACTAATGTACGTCCATCGGGCGGGACTTCTTGAGGCCCCGGCATCCGTCACCGCGGGGCGGTGGAGTCGTGTAGCCGGTGTGGTGGTGCATGTGCATTGGGGGAGGGCGCGCGCGCACTGACACACACAGGCGTCGACTTGGCCTCGGCCTCGCCAAAAGGGTTCTATTTGCGGACCAAGTCTCTCACTCGCGCACATTCGAGGTAAATATCGTGTTTATTTTGGAGAAGAGAGTTTTGACCCACCTTCAGCAGCTCGCCTGGCGCCGCCTGCACGGGGAGGGGGTAGGTAGTCCCCGCACTGGCTGTCGGTGTGTTGTGTAGTGTCCCCCTCCCCCCTCCCCTCACCTCCGCCGGCACAGAGCTGCGCAGACGGGGAGGGGCAGGGCGCCGCAAGCAGCAAGTGCTGGCGCCAGCGCCAGGCCCGCCCCGGGGAGGAGGGGGAGGTGCCTGCCGAACAGAACGCCGCCACCCCACCCACCCGGACCCACCCGGGGGCAGCGTATCGTCATGAATAGGAAAGACTCTAACAACATTCCTCTGCGTAGACAATAAGTCGGCCTCGGCGCTCGCTGTCACAGTCGGGTTGGGTTCACCCTCTGGGTTGACCTAAGTCTAGGGCGCCACCGCCATCGCCCCGCGCCCTGACTCACTAAGGTGAAGGGGTTCCCTAAGGGGAGGGGGAGGGGGACACTGTGCGCCAAGTCGGTCCTCGCACCATGACCTGCCAAGCGTTCGGCGTGCCCCCCCCCCCTTTCTCTCGGTCTCTGTCCCTCTCTCCTACGCCCTTCCCTTTCCCCCGCACCTCGTCACCATGAGGGACCCGATAGCACGAGGCGTTCCCGCACATCCGCTCCGCTCCCCGGGCAGGCGCAGAGCCCGCAGAGCCCTGGCAGAGCTCGAGCGAGCTGGAGGCCGGCCACGCGCCGCCACTCCTCGGCCAGAGCCCCCCCCCCCTCTCCCCCATCAACTTCTTGTTGCGTCTGGAGCGGGGGGAACCTGCCCCCCTCCCGTCGGTGGTCCCCGACGCTCGCTCCCGGCGTGCTATTGTGTGAATCAGCTAGAATCGGCCCGAACGATTTGCCAGTTGATATGATTCTGATAAGCCTCAGTGTTTCAC